GGAAGATTAGGGCTAGAGGTCATTATAGCCAAAACTGCCGCAACCCCTATCTTCCGGCAGAAATGAGTAAGTAGTCTTGCCCGAAGCTGCTAGCTTTCAAGAGCTGACGCCAATAAGACTGACAATTACCAATCAAAGTTGTTTGCCGATTGGCACTATTGTCCGGCGTGCTGTCATATTTTTATCTTGCAAGAGCACACAGATTAACCAAAGTTGTCCTAAGATGAGGAATATCACTGATGGAGTTTGAAGCTATCTTGCTTCTGCTTTGTCTGTGGTTTTTTTAGGGTTCGCAAACGTTTTTCCCCGCCAGAAATAGCTTGAATGAACCTTCATAACTGTTCTTAAGGAAAAATATTACAATTATTATCTAGAGACAGCTCTGGGCATGCTTGCGACTTCGAGTTGTCAATCTTTTCTAGGACATTTTATTGCACGCATTGATCAGTTTCAATTGTCATATTGCCATATTAATGAGGACGATTTGAAGCGGCACGTTAGCTGGTTTTAACAATCGCATACTTTCTCGCTAAAGAGCAGCTGAGAACGAAACAAATGGCAGAGTGATCCAAGCGTTTGGAGCGATTTTCTCTCTTATTACGACGAGTTATCCGTCTGAATTTGAGGACTAGCTTAGTTGAAGAGTCGGCTATCATAACTAAGGACTCGAAATCCTTGGTATTGTGCAGCCAATGCTTTCAAAGCTACAACACAAATGTTAATTGTGGGCCAAGGAAGACCCGTCAGGATCCCCTGCATAGCTGTATTAATAATTTTTCGCATAATTTCTACAAATGAATGTCAGTTCTAACAAAGAACAAACATTCATGGCTCCTTCTAGAGGAAGGTTTCATAGATACCAAGGGCTGATTTGTGTGCAGCGAGCTCCATTTAAAATCGGAAGGCCTTACTTTTATATGTTCTGTAGATGAAATATTATCGAAGATGTGGTTTTTGAGGGGCATTGGCAGACGTGGATTTCTCTACGTTTCTTACTATAGAGGTCGTTAGAAGCAGATTGCCTTCTTATCAAAGTCAAGCTATGAGCACCGCATTTGTTTGAGGGAAGTTGTGACATATAAAACGAAGAATTTCGAATGACTACTATTTGAGTTATTTGAGATTATTTTATTTAATGCATAGGATAATCAGGATAAAGTCATAGTCGAATCTTAGATAGTTTGATCAGGATGAAAGATGCGAAAATAAAGAACTAATTAGAGTCACAAATGCGGACAGATGTGGTGTCGCGCTATGCTCATTATGCACATTGGTATCATAGTTGCTGCCATAGATGCCTCCACCCGCAGCTGCAGCCGCTCGCGAATGTTACCCTATCTGAGGAAACAACTGTACCTTGACCATTTACTAGAAAAATACTAATAGAAATTACTTATTCGGACTCTTCTG